TGATGTAAGAACTGAATCTGATGTGTTACCAGAATAACGACTTTGTTTCTCAAATGGCCGCAAATACATCTGAAAAACCCTCGAAACGTTCGAAGAGAAGTTCCATGGTGGCGACCACAAGATCCAATTTTGAGACTACAACATTCGTTACTTACTTTCTCAAAAAGGAAACGCCCCACTGTCGCATCGACAGCGGACAAAGGATCATCAAGAAGGAAAACATCGGCATCTGAATAAATGGCGCGAGCCAAAGCAATACGCGCTTTCTGTCCACCTAAACAAATGAAACTATTACTTTGTTTGTCAGCACTACTTTTTGAGAACGAACAATGCTAATGCACCTGAGAGGGAAGTCCCGCGATCACCAACGAGCACTGCATCTCCACGAGGAAACTGAGCGATATCATTACTTAGGGCTGAAACTTCAAGAGCTCGGCGATACTTCTCCTGAAAACTAACTATATGGACATAATGACTCACTATAAACGCATAGGTGGAAAAACCTGGTCATAATCACAGCCAAAGAGGATATTATCGCGAATCGTTCCGCTGAAAATCCAAACATCTTGGCTACAATATCCTATCTTTCCAGAGATAATAAGTTTGCCAGAGATCCGCCGAGCTTCGCAAAGTAATGAAGACAGCAACGACGACTGAAATATTATAATTCACTATTATTATCACTTGTATCAAGCTCCTTAAACAATGTTCGCTACAGAACACCTAAGTACCTGGACGATCCTAGCGAAAGAAAAATTGAAAATAACGAAAAATAGAGAGACATGATAATGAGGAAGTGGGTGTACACTAAAACCATATCCTCGTACTCAAAGCCCTTCAGGCAGACCACACTGCACATCGTGAAAAAAAAACACGATATAGAGTGAGGCTGATCAAAGAGCTTACGAGCACTATCTGAGCTGAGATGATGGTGGTGAGGGTTTACAAACTTCTTGAACTTTCATCTATGGTTCCTGCCACGAATGACCACAGACGATTAGAGAACGGCGCCTGGCTCGGCTCCAAATCCCAAGGAGGAGGTGAGAGCCTTAGGACTAAGCCTTGTAGAGGAGGGACTCCGAGGTGGGTGAGCCAACTACAGTGTGGCAAAAGTTTGAATGTGTGAGATCACAGTGGTCATGAGCCGCTGATAAGGTGAGAGAGCGCAGACGAAAGCGTCGAGTGAGGCAGCTTAAAGGACCGAGTTCAAGTAGTCCGTCGACCGGTCGTGAGCCATTCAGACAACCCCATAACCATTGCATTCACTAGCTGAGCAGATTGGAAACAGCAAAATCTACCTACCCTTTCTTGGAACTAATACTTAGGCTACGCGCGGTGCAGCAGCCACAATATCAATTTGGTCTACGAAAACGATCAGCATACAGTGTCTACTCATTAGCAGAAAGATTAACGAATACAGTACAAACTATCACCTTTCCTGATCCAACAGGACCAATAACAGCGACTAGATCACCTGGATTGGCTTCAAGATTGAGATTTTTAACGGCATAAACATCTTCTCCCTCTTCCTG